CGTTGGCGGGGCCGTTGGTTGCGCTGCCTCTGCCTTCGGTGCCCACTCAGGCATGGCCCTTGGCGGTGCTTGGGCGAGGAGCGGGTTGGTTCTGCTAGCCGCATGTTTTCTTTACTCTGTTCTGTAGCCCTTTTTGGGCTTCCTTGGGGGCCATCATAGCAGGGTGAGGGCTTGCTCTTCCCTGAGGGGTTGTTCTTTTGAACTGAGTGCTCTGTGGCATCCTGCTAAACCATGAGGGCTGTGAGGGAAGTGGCTGAGCTGAGCAAGGGCTGGTGCCAAACGCTGCGTGTCCAGCTTTGCCAGCCCACATGCAGCCTCTCCTGGTGTCCAGGGAAAACACCGCATCCAGACCTTATTTGCACAGAGAAAACAGACAAACAGTGCAATTTGAGGAAGAGTCGTGCCCCTTTTAGAGCTATAAATGTAAAAACAAAACTGAATACAACTCTTGTTTTCCCTGTGCAGTTTTGGTATTCATCACAGCTCAAAGCTAGTGCAGAGGCTGGACAGCCAAGCAAGGCCGACGTGGGGTTTGCCAGTAGAGCAGCACCATTTTAGAAAGGTCGAATGGCCTTTTTGTTGAGCAAGCTGGTGGGTCATGTTCTTGCCAAGCGTGTAGGCTTTATGCATTGTAATGGCACATGCAAGGTTTGGAAAAGTTCGAAAAAACCCTTGGGAGTTGAATCTGCTTCACGGGACTGTTCAGTTGCTTACATGAATAAACTTCTTCAGCTCTGACGATGTTGAAGAGAATTCTACATTTCCCCTTTTCTTATTATTTTACTGTGCATTTCTTAATTACAATAGTCTATTTCTCATGTTATTCACTGGTAAGTCTTATTTTTTCTTTTCCTCTGAAACCTTTGGGGGTTGTTTATTTATTGCTACAGAGTATACGCTAGTCAGCTAACTCTCTGGAAGACTATGTGACCTGTTTATCGCTCATTGAGATGGCAGATGTACAAACAGTATTGTTGTGAGATAGTTACTGTATTTGCATTCGATCCTACCATTTCTTGCTATAAGGCGGGGGGAAAAGAAAAGCAACATATTTTAATGTCACTCTTGAAAACTAAGTATTTCTGTGTCATGACCTACTTCATTTCCTAAAAAATAAAAAATAAAATTCTACAGAATAACCCTTAATTCCCCTGAGTAATAGTTTGCTTTCATAATAGTATGCTTACTCTTTTTTTTCCTGCCTAATTGCTATTTTTACATGTCTCTCACATAGAAATTTGAGTTTGTGGGACAGATGACTCATTGCTTCTGCCTAGCCAGCCTGAGACTGAGAAAATGGACCAAATTTGATACTGAAAAATCCTCTGGTTTCATTAAAGCTTTGCCTCCATGTGTCAGTTTGCTCTACCTACGAAAATGAGGGATTCACAGGAGCAGCACGATTGTGAGAGCTATTGCTGCAGTCCTGAGGACTAGCACCTGCTTGGGGCTCTTGGAGTCCTGTCTAAGGCTGCTTTTTGGGCATGGTTTATGCTTTCTGATTTCACTGTAATTGCTTGGTGCCTAGAGAAATAGGACTTCTTTCTTGACTGCTGCAATACACTTAGTAAGTAAAAAATAAACTTTGTATCATTCAGGTAAAGAGTTAATGCATTGCTGTTAATCACAGATAATTTTGCTAAAGTGGTCTTTGAT